TTAAAGGCCTAGATAGAAAAGAAATGCCCAGGTCAGTTTCCCATTCCTGTGCTGTAAAGTGGTGATAGATAATGCCCATCTCAAAGTCACTGGTGATGGGGTACAAAATTACTATGTAAATTCTGACTTACTAAACATGTTACAGTGTCTGAAGACCTGAGGATTTGGAGGATTCACCCTCCAAATCCTTTCACTTCCTGTTTCTCTGCTGCCTCAGGAAGAACAAAAAGCATTTCAGCATGTGATTCTAGGGCCTAAAGGGAGACTTAAGAAAGATCCCAGTGTACAGTAGGGATTTCATGTGCAAGCTGACTATGGCTTCAGGTTCTTATGTCAGCTAAATTGGCATGCTAAGTGTGGCCCTATTCCTTTTGAAATTTGAGGTAAGGATCTGAGGTAGCCCTGGTAGCCCTTGTCTGCATGGATAATCTCAGTCCTGAGGTTCAATTGGCTTTTCTCTGCAAGAGACTTCCATGAACAAAATGACTGAGTAATTAGGATAAGTGATGTTTGCTTGTTTAGTTATATTCAAAAGACACTGATTTTTAAAAAGAACCCCCCCCCTTTTTTTTTTTTCCTTCTTCTAGGCAAGCAGTGGATTTTCTGTGCAATGAGGGGCACATTTATTCTACTGTGGATGATGATCACTTCAAATCTACAGATGCAGAGTAACTAGAGCTTATTGGATACCTGGAATATTTCTAGCTGGACGTGTTTTTCCATCATCTGTTGTCTCCAGCGCTGCAGGTTTTGGCCCGAGGCTTCTAGGACAATTTTCATAGAGGTCTCAGTTTATGTCCTCTTGAAACTTGCTGCTGCTCTGTTTTGTTGTTTAGATGTTCAAAAGGAACTAAACAGTTGGAAAGGAGGTAAACCAGGGTGGCATTTCTTAAGAAATTCCAGATAAGCTAGTCAGGACTCCAGGCTGGATAGATGGGATTGAAAGAGAAACACAACCCAGAGATCAGGGCAGAACTGCATCATGCTTAGGAGCTACTGTTCTTGAAAGGCTTCCTATTGAGGTGGTAAAACTAAGGCCAAGGGCCACAAAAATAACTCACTACCTTCTGCCTAATTTTGTTTTCCCACTCTGGGTCTGTGGTGTTACTTTCAAAATTGCACTTTCCTTCCCCTTGTCTTGCCCGTGACTGAAAGTAGGTGTGAGCATGAGGTTCTGCCCTAACAGGGCAGAGAGGAAGAAATGTTACTCCATTCTTTGTAATATAAATGTCCATATGTTTAATAAAAGTTTGATTGTAATAGCTTTTGAGATGTTACTGGTTTTTCATGTTATTGTGTGGAAGTCAAAGGACAACTTGTTGGAGAATGTTTTTTTTTCTGTGGTATACACAGTCGGTCATCTTCCACTGTGTATTTCAGGGATCCAGCTCAGATCATCAGGCAGATTTCCTCAGGGATTTGTTGTAGGTGTGCAAAGCATGTGACATTGCCACGAAGGGTTATGAACAGACTTTGGGCTGGGTTATAACTCATGTTAGATTGCCTGGCATCCACAAGGCTGGTTCAGTCCCTGGCAGCACTGAAGAATGGGGCCTTTAATGTTGGAGCTGATATGTTATTGTGTAGCGGAGATGGCTGTCTGCTATGAGACTTCACAGAGGCTGTTGTGGTAGAGGAAATGAGTTCATGGAAATCAAAGTGTTGTCTTGGAGGATGGGGTTCTTAATGTGGAACATGCAAATAACTGCTCACTTCTAAATGAGCTCTCAACCCTGATTGCTGATGGTAAACATCTGACTGTTTGCTAGACAGAGTAGTTCCCTCTGAAGACTCACACCAGTTGGTAAGGGTCAGCTACCTGTTATGTTACTACTGCTGAGAACAAGAAAAAAACATGTTTCCAGTGTGGGATGTGTGATGGGGTACTTTCACAAATTTCCGATTTCCTCTAGTTATCAGGTAAACAAAGCTGTGGTTCTGGGTGGGTCTTTCCATAGAATTCAAATGACAACTTATCGATTAAATGACTTGTTTTAGGAGGCAGAGGAGTTCTTGACTTCTGAGGCCAACCTGATTAACATACCAGGTTCTAAGTAGCCATGACTACATAGTGAAATCTTGTCTCAAAAAAGGGTAGGGGGACCTAGAGATGGGGCTCAGGGATTAAGAGCATCTATTGTTTTTCTAAGGGGGTCTGAGTTCAGTTCCAAGCACCCATGTTAGGCAGGTCACAACAGTCTAATTCCTGTTATAAGGAATCTGATGCCTCTAGTCTCCTGGCACCTGTATTTGCTTGCATGCATGCGCTCACGCATGCATGAACACACACACACACACACAAGTTGTTCACTGTTTATTAGATACCAAACTGTTGGTTAGATACTAGCAATAGGAGAAATTAGCATTAGGCTGCTTGCAGTGGATTGCTGAGTTCTGGCTATTTGGCTCTCAGTGGTCATATGATTGCCAAGCTTTGGGAGTTTGAGGCAGAGCACAGACAGGACAGTGGTGTGGAATTCCAGCCCCTGGAACTGCTACTCTTCACAGGTAGAAAAGCTTGTTTCGGGGTCCAGTACGAGGTGTTCAGTACATTGGAACACCAATATGACCCACGTTCTTAGAAACTACCAGTGCCACCTGCTTGTGTGTTCAGCCTGCTCAGGAAAATTTGTAGGACTGCAGGTGGGGAAATGGGACATTGTGAAAAATAACACTTTACTAAGCTTTGACGAGAGAAAGTCCAGAGTAAGAATTAGTATTTAGTGTGGATTAATGGTTTTGTTGTTTTAGTGCAGTTGATTTCACAAGCCTAAAAGAAAAGAGTGTGGCTGGGAGAAACTTCATATTGGTAAAATGTTTGAACATGTATTCTTACTTTGTTTAGTAACTTTTATATAAGTTTACTCTATTAATATACCTGTCATTATAAAACATTCCAAAGCAGAAATGAGCCAGTTGTAGTGATCCAACACCTTAATCCCAGCACTCAGGAAGTAGAGACAAGCAGATCTCTTGAATTCAGAGCTAACCTGGTCCACATAGCCAGTTCCGAGTCAACCAAGCTACACATCAAGACCCTGTCTCAAAACAAAAAGTGCTAATACCTATTTTCTGTTCCCAAAGGAACTCATGGTGAATACATCTCTTGGAAGGCCAGCTCAAGGGGTATCCCCAGCCCCATTGTAATATCCTTCCCACTAGCCCAGCTTTTTGAGGGAAAGAAAACAAGTCCTCTGAGGGTTCCTGGAGCACCTGCCATTACTCTGAAAAATCAACTGCAGTTGTTGAACGTGCTTGGGGGGGGGGGGCACTGGTTGAGGACATCTACTCGTGTATGGCCAGAGGTTGACACCAGGCATCTCCCTCAACCATGGGTTTTTGAGATCAGGTCATTTACTAAACTTAGTGAACCCCTGGGACCTGTCTGTCTCTGGCCTCCACCTCCCAATGTTAGATTGAGGCCACTAGGCCTGTCTTTTATGTAGGTGCTGTCAATCCAAACTCAGGTCACCATTCTCAATACTGCAAGCACCTTACCCATTGGGCCATCACCCCAGTCTCTGTGGTTCCTTTAAGCACAGCTAAGACATTGCTGCCTTTCTCTGCATGGAAGCACCTGATTACTCAAATCCTTTGTCAGTTTTTATGTGTTTAAGTATTTTGCCTACAAGTATATGCACCATGTTTGTGCAGCCCACCATAGAAGCCAGAGGTCAGAATTCTAGGAACTGGGTGGGTGCTGGCACCTAAACCTTGGCCCAGTCCTCTTAACCACTGAGCCATCTCTCCAACCCTGGAAATCCTATTTCATAGGAACTGGTAGCCTCTTTTTGTGGCTTCTTCAATTTTGTGCCAAGATTGAGCATATATTGAAAGTGAAAACTAGAGGCACTATGTATATTGGTCTGCCCTCTGGCCGTTCAGAGACAGGAAGGAACATTCCATCAAGATCTTGCTTATTGCTTCTGTCCACTGTCTGTCCCTGGGTCTTCCAGTGCAATGAACATTGGCTTTTGGAGAGAGGTGAGTAGAAACTGGTGGATAAAGTGCCCACAGTTGGGACTGGCCAGCAGCAGCCTGTAGAAATCACTTGGGAGAACTCCAAAGTCAGAGGACCTAGAGGCAGCCCAGAGAGGAGCTGACTCAGGAGCAAACACAGGAGCAATGCCAGGGATCCAGTTACACATCACCTGGAAACTCAGCATCCTTTTATCTGTCCCATCTTCTCTGGGATTCTAGGGCTAAATTCTGTGACTTTATCAGCTTGCAGTTCCTACTTTTCCCAGGATATGATGAATGCCTTCACCCATCATGCCTAGACCAACCTTGGAAGTTGCATGAACAAAGGTTTATATTTATCCTTTGCCTTTGAACAGAGTGGCTGTCTAACCACTCAAAGCACTGTCTAGTCTAGAGTCAGTCAGCTTTTTTTTTTTTTTTTTTTTTTTTTTTTAGACAGGGTTCCTCTGTAGCTTTGGAGCCTATCCTGGAACTACTTTTGTAGACCAGACTGGCCTTGAACTCAGATCTGCCTGTCTCTGCCCCTGAATGCTGGAATTAAAGGCGTGTGTGTTATTACTAGCTGATAGCATTTTTTATTTTTAATTCAGTGAATTCCATGATGAGACTGCAGGCATGAAACCAGAGACTGGAGACACAGCTGTGTGATTGTGCTAGTGTGGCTTGGTTAACAGTGACACTAACAGTGAGTGCCAAGTACAGGTACTAACTGCCTTGCACATATCTCAGGTGATCCTTAGAACAATCTAGATGTCATGAAACTAAAGTATAAAGTGAAACAAGTCACTGAAATTGACATTTGGTACATGGTATGCTGGAACCTAACCTAGACTTGCCTTTTGGAGGGAGCCCTGGCCTTAACCACTGTGCTGGTCTACCTCCTGAGACCATCAATCACTAAGCCTGTTTTCCTAATCTTTAAAATCAGGCTGCTGTTTCCCTCCAGGAGTTCAAGGTTTGGATATGGTTTCTAAAAGGTATGGTGCCCAGGTAAGACTTAATAAATTATTCATACAGAATCACATGCCATTTTTATTCTGTGGCTTCAGCATGAAATGATCTTCAGTAGTTACCTAGCAGCTTTCTTTAACAGTGTCACAATACCACTCAAAGCATGCCATGAGACTGAATAGATGGCTCAGTGGTTAAAGGCACTGACTGTTCTTCCAGAGGACCTGGGTTCAATTCCCAGCACCCACATGGCAGCTTACACCTGTCTAACTCCAGCTCTAGTGGATCTGGCACCCTCACAAAGATTTCCACAGCTTTGAGTCTCCGTAGTTTCTTGGGTTTTTGTTGTTTTCTTAATAAATATGTAGGTCAGACTGGCCTCGAACTCACAGATATGTACCTGTCTCTGCCTCCCCCAGAGTACTGAGACTAAAGTTGTGTATCACCAAACCCAGCTTTAAGTTTTTTAATTGTATATTATTTTTGTGTGTGGAGAGGGCAGGGTTGTGCACATAAGTGCAGTGCCCGCAGTGTCCAGAAGCAGGTATTAGATGCCCTGGAGCTGGAGTTACAGGCAGTTAGGAACTACCTGAAATACGTGCTGGGAACTGAACTTGGGTCCTCTGTAAGAGCAGCAAAGGGCTCTTAATATCTGAGCCATCTCTCTGGTCCTTCCATCTTTGTAAATGAGCCCTCCTAGTTCCATTATCAGATTTTAAGAACTAAAGTCCTATCTAAGATTTTGTTCTTGGAGGCAAATTCCCATATTTATTCCTACAAGCCCATTGACTGGGTGCTGCCATGAGCTGAATTCTACCAGCCCGAGAATACTCTGTCCCCAGACCCCAGAGCCTGGACTGCAGAAGTGGAGGAACAAAGGAGGTGGCAAACAATGGGTGTGCAATGAAGACTGAGTTCCCTTTACCGTGAGGCAGGCATTGCTGAAGCTGGTGGCCTTATTTGATTCTTCTCTGCGCCCAGTTGTGGGACAACTGATGCGCACAGGAGTGAACAGAACTTGAATGGCTTCTCTGGACACCAAAGCATTGGTGGGAACATCACATGCAACCCTCTGGGACCAGGCAGAGGCAAGAATCTGAAACCCAAAGGCGGTAGGGATAATGTCTCCCATTTCATTTCTGTATCTATCTGCATCTGAGACTTTGCCCCAGGTCTCCCAACTTCATGTGCAGGAGCAGCTGGGAAGTGTGGCTTCCCCACACCTCAAATCTCTTCATAGTCGTGGTCATCCACTTCTGAGTCAGGCAGGGGATATGATTCAGTGATAGAATATTTGCCTAGCATGCTCGAGGATTTGGGTTTTATGCCCAGCACTGAAGAAGAAGAAAAGAAAGCCAGGTCATTCAGATCTTTGTCTTTAGGCTAGTTCCTTCCCCTTTTCAGTTTCATCCCATGAACAGGGAAGGGCTTGGCCTAACTCTGTAGTTCAGAAACAATTCATTTTCTTTGAACACTGTAGCCATTTTACTGTTCTGTTTGTTGTAGGAGGACATTGTGTCTGGGACTGGACTCATTTCATTGCTAGGATGTGATGTCTAGAAAGAAAGACTAGAGACCTTTCCACCTGACCCTCTCCGTATAAGCTTGGCTCTCTCAGACTAAGGCCACAGTCGGGTCCCCCTGGCAGAGCTAGCAGAGGTGGGAGAGGGGTCTGATGGGCCAAACTTACCTGAATCCTGTGTTTGGGTTTTGGATTTAAGGTCTTTCTTGTGGACAGAAACCTTGCTGTACAGATTTGATTTGTCCTTAGGGAGCTTTTCCAAGGTCTTCGCCTTGGGTACAGGCTGTGGGTAGGACTGCTTTTGTTCTATAACTTGAGACTGAGAAGGAAGACAAAAACAAAACAAAAACTAGAAATCAGAAAAGGTAGAGACTGAAACTCCTCGGGACTCATCTTTTTAGTTCCCACTGTCACGTGACTACACGATAATAAATGTAGGCCTCCTGAGGTCTCAAAACAGTATGCTTGTTGTGTTCACAAAGCATGCTTCTGGTAGGTCACTCAGGCACATAGGCACTGCAGTCAGGGCTGAGTTCAAACCCAGCTCTGCCATCCTTCTAGCTGTATGAGCTCAGGTGACTTGCCTCAGCTGGAGAGAGAGGGGGGGGAGAGGGAGGGAGAGGGAGGGAGGGAGAGAGAGAGAGAGAGGAAGGGAAAGGGGAAGAAAGTGTGTGTTCAGGGGAGGGGCACTGTGAGAATAGGTGGGGTCAGCCACCAAGTAAATGTGCTATAAACAGGAAGTGGCTAACAAGGGCTTGTGGGAGTCCTCTTAGGGTTACCACTAAGAAGGATGCTCAGAGCTCAAAGGGGTAGCTGGAGCCTTGATTCCCCTTGGCTTATTCAGCAGTGCCCACCAGTCTTGGAGGTGTGGAATTTCTGCTCTCTGCCCCCCTTACCCTGCCCAACTCTCTTGTGAAGCAGAGAGATTACAATACAGTGAGTTGAAAAGGACGTGTCTCCAATCTATGAACACAACAGTAAGATGACAAAGAGAACCAGGCCAGCTCTCCCCAAGTCTGAAGGAGGAATAATGATGGCCATGGATCTAATACAGGTCTAGTATGGGTCATGTGGATTTTGTGAGCCATATTAGACCCATGTGCCAACCCAGAGCCTTTCTGAGGCTGGAGTTGGGAATACAAAGTGGTGGGAGGTGGCCCAGGGATGCCAGACTGAAATCAATTCATGAAGGACCCTGATGCCATGTGGGACCACTGAAGGTTTCAACACTGTCTAGCTGGCAACTAGAGGAAGATTCAGGAGCTATGCCAGTTAGTTTTAACTGCCAATTTGACACAACCTAGAACTACCTGGAAAGAGTCTCAGTGAGGAATTATCTAGATCAGGTTGGCCCATGGGTATGTCTATGGGGGATTATCTTGACTGCCAGTCAATGCTGAACAAACCAGCCCACTGTAGATGACACCCATTCCCAATACTGGACTCTGGAATGTATGAAAATAAGGAAAGTCATCAAGAAAGCTAGCGAGTGGTATACGTTTATCAGATTCTCTCTACTCTTGACGGCCAGCTGTCTCTAGCCCGTCTCTGTGACTTCCCTGTAACCTGGAATTGTGAACTCAAACAAACCCTCCTCCTCTATGTTGCTTTTGGTTCAGGACATTTTATCACAGCCTCATAAAACAAACCAGGACAGGAGGCCATCCTAAGAGCTTTTGTAAGGACAGATGGTGTTCCCGGGGGAGTGGAGCAGCAAAGGCACCAGGAACGTAGAATGTCCACACTCCAGTCCAGACCTTCCATTTAGTAACTCCGATTTCAGGGGCGTATCAGAGTCTCAATCCTCATGTTCTCAATCATAAAATACAGGTAATTACACCAACTTCAAGATTATGAGGCCTGAATGGGAATAATTGGTACAAAGACTAGAACTTAATGAACTGCAAGTTCAATACAATTGAAAGAGAGGATCATGGCAGACAAAAAGCAAAGAGAGTGTGCAGGGTGAGCCCCACAGATGACCCCTCCCTGCCCGTTAGGTGCTGTGCATACCTTCACACCGGCCTCCTTGCAGCTCTGTATTCTCTGCTTCTGCTCACGGACACTCTTGCTCTTTGGAGGCCTGGGTGGGGGAGCTTGACTCTCAGAGGCAGGCAGCTTCCGGAGACTGTAGTAGAAGCCTTCTGACAGTTCCTCCACCCTATCGACATAGCGTGGCTCAGCCACCTGGCCTGACTGCCCCTCAGCTTCCATCACAGTGAGGTCCAGCCACCGGGGAGGGATCTCAAAGCATATGTCTGGCTGTGAGTCCAAGCCTACCACCAAAAAGGGTTCTGTGATTTTCTCCTCTAGCCGCAAGCCAGGGAAGGAGACCAGAGGGTCAGTGGGGTGCTGAGCATCCTTGGATACCACCTTGACCTCACAGGGCAGGGAGAACTGTGCAGTGAGATCTGCTAGGCTATACCGCCGGCTGTCGTTCACCTCCTCCACAAAGGCACCAAAGAGGTAGAGGGGTAGCAGAATCTGTTCTTTGTTCTCCTCCTCCTCTTCCAAATCCTCCTTGTCCTCCCAGGCCTGCTCACCCAGCCGCTGACATATCAAGACATCAATGTCCTGGCCCTGTGTCCCACAGACCTGGCCTTGCCTCTGCACCTCCAGTCGATCACCCACGGCCAGGGAAGAAAATTCAGGATTCTCCTCTTCGTTCCCATCACAGTCTTTTGTGACCACCACCCGGAGGGGTGGGCCTGGCTGGAGAGCACCCAGAAGGTCATAGGCTGTGGGGAACTCCCTTGGCCTCCGCCTCAGCTTGCCCTGGTAGGCCCCAGAGAGAATAAAGTATCTGGGGGCTCTTCGGCTCTTGCTTGAGGCCACGACCCTCCAGGGTGGTGAAGCTGGCCCGTAGATGCAGAGCCTCTGGCCTTTGTGCAGGAAGCCCACCCACGGGTTGAGGAAGATGGGCGGGCCCTCAGGCACCTCCAGGATCTCTGTGGACATAGGGAAGGGGCCTCCCTGGGCCAGGACCTCACTCAGCAGCAATGGTTTGATGAAATGGATATGCTGGGAAGAGGCGGTGACGTCTTCTACCTCCACCTCCAGGGTGGATGGGATCTTGACGATGGTGGGGCGCACTGTGGGGAAAAGGGCAGTTCAGGGGTGCAGCACAGTACCCAGTCGTGGCCCACCCCAGCTTTGAGTCTGTTTCATCTTTTATTTCCCACAATCCATTTTCCTACTGTACTAGATTTTTTTTTTAGCCCAATTTTTTTTCAACTTTTTTTCATTTCTTAATCTTAATTTTTTAATTCAAATTTTTATATTTGTTTTAATTGCTTACAACTGTGTGTAGGTGTGTGCACGTGACCACAGAGGCCAGAGGAGTTGGATCCTGCAGAGGCTGGCATTACAGGAGATTGTGAGCTGACTGACAAGATAACTCCAGTTCCAAGTAGATCTGATGTCCCTCTCTGACCTCCACGGGCACCAGGCATGCACATACTGAACAGACATACATGCAGCCCAAACACCCATATACAGAAGATAATTTTAAGAAATCCTTATTAAAATAAAAATAAAGCCCATGAGCCAGGAGTGGTGGTACACTATTACAGTCCCAGAGTGCTGGGGATGGGAACAGGACGATCTGGAGTTCAAAGCCAGCCAGGCTACATGAGATGCTGTCTCAAAATAAAGTAACATGCTTAAACAACATGATAAATAAGGAGGTCATATTGTTGCAGAAATGTAGCATAAGGGGTGTGCTATGTTTAAGAGAGTCAAGGAAATCAGCATGTGATGTTTAAATTGAAACCTTAAGGATAAAAAGGGTGATGAGAAGCTGGGGTGGTGTGAATTCTAGCAGATAAAATGCCTGCAGTGGGAAAAAGGACGCCTAGACCTCCTCAAGTTTGTTTTCCCAAGAGGGGACTGGGAGGGCATTTCCGTTTCCTTTTCTTCTCTATAAACAAAATAAAATCAACTTTACCATGCCATGGGTATGCATCTCTTAAAAAAAAAAAAGGATAATTGTACAAGCTTTGGGGTTTGTCTCGTTTTGACCAGGTGTGGTCACATTCATATACTCCAGCACTTGACTTGGGAGGGTAGAGGTAGGAGGATTCGGAGATGGAGACTAGCCTGGACTACATGAGACTGTCTCATGTGTTAAAAATTTTTTGGTTTTATTTATTGTTGACAATGCTGGAGATCAAGTGCTAGCAAACACTGTACGAGTGAACCAAGCTCCAATCACCTCTTTTTTATTTTTTATTATTTATTTATTTATTTATTTATTTATTTATTTATTTTGGTTTTTCAAGACAGGGTTTCTCTGTGTAGCCCTGGCTATACTGGAACTTTTTCTGAAGATTAGGCTGGCCTTGAACTAAGAGATTCACCTGCCTCTGCCTCCTGAGTGCTAGGATTAAAGGCGTGTGCCACCACTACCTGGCCCCTTTCCCCTTTATTGATTTTACTATTTTAAGAAACTTTTGGTTTTTTATTCGTGTTTGTCTGTCGGTCTGTCTGTCTGTCTGTCCACCTGTGCCATGGAGTGAGTGTGGAGGTCAAAAGATAACTTGTAGAAGTCAGCTCTCTCCACCATGCAGGTCCCAGGGATGGTGGCAGCATCTTTACTTGCTGAGCCTCACGGTCCCATTCCTGCTTTTTTTTTAAAAAAAAGATTTATTTATTATGTATAGTGTTTTGTTTGCATGTATGCCCTCAGGCCAGAAGAGGGCACCAGATCTCATTACAGATGGTTGTGAGCTGCCATGTGATTGCTGGGAATTAAACTCAGGACCTCTGGAAGAGCAGTCAGTGCTCTTAACCTCCAAGCCATCTCTCCAGCCCCCCACTCCTGCATATATATATATATATATAGAGTATTGGTGTGTGTGTGTATGTATACAAATGCCAAAGCTAATATGGAGGTCGGAGGACAATTTTCACAGCAAATACTTTTATGCACTAAGCTAATTTGCTATTGCTATCCCCCCTTTTAATTAATTGTTTTGGGTTTTTTTTTTTTGTTTTGTTTTGTTTTTTTTTTTTTTTTTTTTTTTTTTGCAATTTTCATACAGCATCTATGTAGCCCTGGCTAATGTGGAATCTAACCTTGACCAACTCTAAAGCATGAGGGAACTTGGGTGTATTCATTCTATTTTCCTATCTCTTCTTATGCCATTACTTCCTATTTCCCTGGGCATCTGTATTCTGCTACATGGCAGACACTGGGTAAGCAGGCTAGAGTCCCAGACTGTGCACAGAGTCAGCATTATCTGAATCCTGCCTGCCCACCTGCCCAGATAACTCACTGTGCATCACGGCTTGGAGCATATACTGGGACTTCAGGATCACAGAGCGCCAGGGTAGGATGGGGCAGGTGAATACAAAGTCCTGCATAGCTGGGTCCTGCAGGATTTGGAGCAGGGTTTGTGGACCACCAGGCTTGCATCTCCAGAAGGGTCCCTTCTGGGAAAGGGGTAAATAATGGATGATCTCGTGGGTCTTTGAGTCCTGGACACAGCATGCATAGTGGGTCCCATGGTGTATTTCCACAGCTTCAAGCCTGAGCAGCTGGTTCGCAGGCACCACCGTGGCCTCTGTGACAATTCTTCCAGTTGATTTGAAGCAAATAGGCCACTGTGTGGAGGTCTGGGGCACGGCAGAGATGAGCTCCTCCAGGGTTGTGTAGCTCTGCAGGCTGGTGAGTGTGCTGAAGAGGCCTGTGGGAGTCAGCAGAGGGAGGGAGATTGGGAGAAGGGTTCTGCAAACAACCCAGCCAGAATCCCTCCTAGAGCCTGCATCTGGACATCTAGACCAAAGGCCTATGGATGGAGGCTGTATGACAGTGTGTGAATAGATAGTGAGGAACAGGAATGGTGACACAAGGGATGTCACCAGAGACACAGAGAAGAGAATAAGGGCACATTCTCTAACACACACACACACACACACACACACACACACACACACACACACCTACCTCCTATGCTTTCCCTCTTTTCTGATCTCTGTCTCCAACTTGGCCAACCCATCACTTTTTGTTTCAGATATGTCCCCTATAGCTCCAAGCCCACATGTCCATCTGTCTCCCCATCCTGAGGCAGCACCATTGTCTCTTTCTCCCAAATTAGAACCCCGGGAGCTACTGGCCCTCTGACACCCACACCTCAGTTGGTCTGCCAGGGCCATCTAACTGCTCTCCCACCACTCCCAAAGTCCCCAGACATTCTGCCACCAGGCTGGTCCATTGCCCAACTTCTGGAAACAATGGTTTCCTGCCCCAAACTCAACACAAACCTAATCAAGGAAATATCACAAAGCCTAGAGTGTAGGACATCCTACAAAAATATTGGTCTGGGACTAGAGATGCAGTTCAGTAATAGAGTGCTCACTTAGCATGTGAGAGGCCTGAGCTAGACCCAGTACTAAAAAGAATGTCCATATGGCCTAGTATGCTGGCTCACACCTTTAATCCCAACACTCATGAAGCAGAGGCAGACAGATCTCAGTGAGTTCCAGGCCAGCTGTTTTGGCTGATGGGCAGGCAGGAAGTATAGGCAGGGCTACCAGACTAGGAGAATTCTGGGAAGAGGAACACAGAGAGCAAGTCTTAAGAAGATACATGTAGCTGCTGAGGAAGCAGGAGGTCTGGGCATCACCGGCAAGCCAAGACCACATGGAGACACACAGGTTAATAGAAATGGGTTAATAATTAAGAGAGTGCTAGCCAATAAGAAGCCTAAGCTATTGGCCAAACAGTTTATAATTAATATAAGCCTCTGTGTGTTTATTTGGGACTAAACAGCTGCAGGACTGGGCAGGACATAAACTTTTGTTCACAAAGGAAAGACGGAAGGAAGGAAGTAGGAAGGAAGGAAAGAAGGAGAGAAGAGAAGAGAGAGGGAAGGGAAGGGAAAGAACACAAGAGATTCACCTTATTTGTGTATATGAAAAGCCCCAGGCTCCTCAGAACTTTCACAAGAGAAAGTGTGTCAGTCTAACCTAGAGAATCTACTTCTGCTCATTCCCACCACCTGCTGTAAGAGTGTGTGTGTCTGTGTGTGCACGTATGTGCACATGCAGTACGTGTCTGTGTATGTTGAGGATGTACCTCCTCTACTCTATATTTACATGTGTTACTTCTTCAAATCTAGCATCAAGTCTAAGGACTCATAATAGAGGAGGAAGCAGAGGCCGCCCAGGCAGTTCCCATCATAGACAACATACCTCCTGATCCATAACAAGCCCCTTGGGGGGGGGTATCTTTTTCTGCTTGCTTGGCTAGCTTGCTTGTTTTTGAGACAGGGTCTCTTGGATCTCAGGCTGGCCTTGAAATCCAAAAAGATATGTAATTTTTTTTTTGGTAGGGGCTGTTTGAGACAGGGTTTCTCTATGTAGCCCTAGCTGTCCTGGAACTAGCTTTTATATACCAGGGCCAGAGTTAGGCCCTCCCAAATGCTGGGACTAAAGGCATAGGCTACCAAAACACATTTAGGTTGGAGAGATGGCTCAGAGGCTGTTTTTCCAGAGGTTCAAAGTTCAACTCCCAGTAACCACATGGTGGCTCACAACCATCTGTAATGAGATCTGGTGCCCTCTTCTGGCATGCAGGCAGAACACTGCATAATAAATAAATAAATAAATAAATAAATAAATCTTTCTTTCTTTCTTTCTTTTTTTTTAATCACATTTAAGCTAGGCATGGTGGTGCATACTTTTAGTCTCAGCACTCAGGAGGCAGAGCGAGACCGTATTTGAGGCCAGCCTGGTTTTACAGAGTGAGTTCCAGGATAACTAAGGCTGTATAGCAAAACTGTGTCTCAAAACACTGAAATAAAATTTTTATTTGATGTATATATGTACGATGTGCATCTACAGCACATGCGTGGAGGTCGCACGTAGGTATGCATGGGCATGCCACAGCCCGTGTGTGTGGGTCATGGGAGGACTGCTTGTAGGAGTCACTCTCTCCTTCTACCATGGAGGTTCTGGAAATTGAACTGGAATCATCAGGGTTGGCAGCAAGTGTCTGCTGCTGATTATCTCCCAGGCATGAGACCTAGACATGAGGTCTGCTCCAGCTCTCCCTGCCTCCACCGCCTGGGGTTACAGGCTAAACCACTACCACAGCTGGCTTATACAGTGCCAGGGTTAGGAGACAGGACCACACGCACTCTAGGGAAGCATTCTATCACCTGAGGCCCTCACTCTTTTTGAGACAGTCTCTCATGCATCCTAGACTTGCTAGGTAGCCAAGGGTGCCCTCGGAATTCCTGATCTTCAGCCTCTACCTTCCCTGTGCTAGAATCCAGGAATGTGCCACCACATCTGTTTCCCTTGGGATTTCTTAGGCACCGAACAGGCACATGCCAACTCCCTTATCTGGGGACCTCTTGCTCCTGGATCTGTAGACTCTGGAGGGCAGGCCACCCCATGCTGAGCTGGTGCCCACTTCATGGACCCTTGCCTTCTCTCAATGCCACTCCAGAAGACTGAGTCCACAACCCAGCTCTCCACTGGGCCTGGCATACATGGGGTCAGCAGATGTTTGATGAATGACTATATGAGCAAACAGGGATCAAACCCTAAAGACCTGGAGGCAGATGTGGTCAGAAAGGGCAGGGACATGCCAGGCTCTGTGGTGGTATTTTGTTTTATGCTCTGACAAATAAAGCTTGCCTGAAGATCAGAGGGTGGAGCTAGCCACTGGTTAACCATAGAGGCCAGGCAATGTGCCCACACCTTTGACCCCAGCACTTGGCATCTCATGACTTTGGTACCAGTACTTGAGAGGTGGAGATAGGAATATAAGGTGGGTAGAGACGGGATCTCTGGCCCATTCAGCCTGAGGATTCGTAGAGACAGGAGCTCAACCCCTTCCATATGAGCATTCAGTAGAGTTAAGAAGTCTCTCTAGCAGATGCTCTTTTACTTCTCTGACCTTTCGGCATTTACCCCAATATCTGACTCCGGGTTTTTATTATTAAGACCAATTAGAATTCACTCTACAAGACTCAGGGCACCCTCAAGGATACACCCTGATGTGTCCTTGCCCTTGCAGCTACATAAACAGTAGATATGTCATTATAGGCAAAGCCGGAGGGATGGGAATGATACCGGAAGAGGCAAACCCACCCACAAGTGGCTGAAGATATACCTACAGGATGCCAGGCTGGGTGGGAAGGCAGAGGTGTACACCTTACCTGAGAAGTTGGGGTTCAGCTCCAACGTCTGACCCGTCTCTGGGTTTTCACAGACCACCTTCTGGAGGTGAATATGGGTAACCTTGATCAGGTCCCCTGTGGAGAGGCAACACTCATTGCCAAAAAGCTCGTAGATGGAACCTGTGGAGACACACATTCAGTTTCTAGTTTTGGCAAAGGCCAAGCCCTGGGTGGCCTGCGCCCTGTTTGTTCTTCACAAGCTCTTCTCGGTTGTCTCTGCTGCCTCAAGTCTCTCTCTCTTTCCCTCTCAGGTAACTGAGCACTGAACTAGAGGCCCATGCCTCAGTTTTCCTCCTTGCCTTTCCCTGCTAAAGGGTGTGGTTCTTTTTTCTTTCTTTCTTAGTTCTTTGCTCTTTGACGCTGGTCTTTTGAGGGCCCGCCACCCAGCTCTCAAATAAATCACACATGGTGTCTTATTGTGACTTACAAATGGCTGGCCCTAGCTTGGTTCGTTTCTTGCCAGCTTTTCTAAACTTAAATGATCCTGACTACTTTTTGCCTCTGGACTTTTTCCTTTTCTTACTTCTGTATATCTTACTGTCAGTCTTACTAGGCCTGGCCTGGGCAAGCTGTCTGGCGCCCTAGCGCCTCTCACTCAGTCTCTCCCTCCTATTTATTCTCTGCCCGCCAGCCCTGCCTATCCTTGCTCCTGCCTCGCTATTGGCCGTTCAGCTCTTTATTAGACCATCAGGTGTTTCAGACAGGCACAGTAACACAGCTTCACAGAGTTAAGCAAATGCAGCAAAAAAAAAAAAAAAAGTCAAACACCTTTACATCATTAAACAAATGCTCCAAAATGTAACACACCTCTAATATTCCACAACATCTCCCCTTTTTTGTCTAAATAAAAAGGAAGACATTAACTTTAACATAGTAAAACTATACACAACAAAAACAGTTATCAATAAGAATTACATTTACAATATTCTGCCCATTTGAAGCTAGTATATTCAGAGAAAATACTGCGTTATCTATTCTATCTTAGTGAATCCAAAGTTTTATATTTAATTTACTTTCTATCATAACAAAGAAAAGCTGAAGCTATAACTAGTCTTTAAAAGCCCTGAAGGATATAATAATACCTGAGTAAACAAGAATAAGAGCGAAAGTAGATATATAGAAGTAAGAAAAGGAGGGGGCTGGAGAGATGGCTCAGAGGTTAAGAGCACTGGTTACTCTTCCAAAGGTCCTGAGTTCAATTCCCAGCAACCACATGGTGGCTCACAGCCATCTGTAATTGGGTCTGGTGCCCTCTTCTGGTGTTGAAGCAGACATGTAAACAGAGCATTGTAAACACAATAAATAAATCTTTAAAAAAAAAAAAAAAGAAGAAGTAAGAAAAGGAAAATCCCAGGAGCAAAAGGTAGTTGGGATACTTTAAGTTTAGAAAAGCTGGCAAGAAACAAACCAAACCAAGGCCAGGCATTCACAAGCAAGAATACGACTCTGTGTGTGATTTATTTGAGAGCTGGGTGGCAGGCCCTCAAAAGACCAGAGTCAAAGAGCAAAGAACTAAGAATTTAAAAACAAACAATTAAAAAACCAAAAAACAAACAAACAAAACACCTACATTTTGGCATTCCAACTTGGGACTAGAGTAAAAGAAAATACAACAACGAAAACGTAGCTGGCTCAACCTGCCATCCTCAGACAGCTTGTGCTGTCTCCACTAACCACGGGAGGCAGCCCCGTTGACGCCCAGTCTTCCCTTTCTCCCAATTCATGCCTCCTAGAGTGAGTGCAGCCAGGACTGGTCCATTTTCAACATCACTGCAGCCTCTGAGGGTGTTTTCTACCCACGAAAGAGTAAATAGCCCAGTAAAGCCTACCTCCCCTTTATAGTTACATCAGACTTGGAGTAGGTAGACTCTATGTAGATAGAGAGGATCAGGTGGGTACTTAATTCTTCAAGCACCCTGCTTTCTACTTCAAATGCGTGAGTTGCATGCTTTCATTTATTATTGAAGCAGGCTCTCCTGTAGTTGAGGTTGGCCTGGAACTCTCTATATCACACATGACATTGAACTTCGGATCCTCCGCCTCTACCTTCCAAGTGCTTGAATAACAAGTGGTGTACTACCATGCCAAGTTCTTTGCAGCACTGGTGATCAAATCTAGAGGTTCAAGCCTGATAGGTGAGCAGTCTACCAATTGAGCCACACCCCCAGCCCAGATGAGTTGCTTTTAGCTTTTTGGGCTTTCCCCCTCCCCAAACTTTTTGGTTTATCTTGAGTATATTCCATATTCCACGGTATGGGTGTAGAAGTCAGGAAAACTCTCAGGAGCCAGTTCTCTCCTTCCAGTGAGACCCATGGATTGAATTCAGGTTGGCAGGATTGGCAGCAACCACGCTGCCCACCAGCTAGCTCTCCAGCCCAGTGAGTCCTTAGAGGAAGTGGAGGTTGAGGTTCTGAGCTACCTCCAGGTTCAACAGCCCATTTGCTAAAGCCATAGAAGACACATAGTGTGGATCTCACAGAGCGAGTGCGGGGGGGGGGGGCGCTATCCAGCTGGCAGAAGATGGGAAACAGTAGCTCACTGGGCCCTGAGGCCACCTGACAACCCTTCCCCCAGGACAGCCCCAGCAGGGGCTCACATGGCCTTGAGAAGCTAGTATAAACCCACTCTAAGCCCTCAGGGAAGTGCACATAGTTACTACAAGGGCAGGGTGTGTTCCTTCTGGTAGGGGAGACTATATATATATATATATATATATATATATATATATATATATATGTATACACACACACACACACACACACACACACACACACACACACACACGTGAACCTGAGTTAGCCACAGAGTTATATATACCTCCCCTGCCTGTAACAACTGTGGCTTATGCTTCATTGCCCTGAGATGCATGACTGCCCTTCAGGGAACGGGGCCAGCAATTTCCCTTTGCTAAATAAATAGTGACAGTTTCTCTTTCCTAAAAATGACAGCTCAGAGGGGTGTTATCAGTTCCTCCAAATAAAGAGAAAGATCAAGAACTCAGTATCATCCTGGGCTCAATGGAGAGCTTAGGCCAGCCTGGGCTACATGAAACCCTGCCTCAAAAGTACCAAAAAGGAATCAGCAAGGTATTGGCAGGTAAAGACTCTTGCATCCCCAAGTCCCACATGGTGGAAGAAAATTGAGTCCCAGAAGTTGTCCTCTGGCCTTCACATGCAAACTGTGGCACATGTGTACTCCCACCCACACAATAAACAAACAAAAGTTCATAAGACACACTGTGGAGAAACACATCAGTAACCACACCATTCGGGAAACTTGGGCAGGGGAAGTCTGAATTACACAGGAAGAGTCTTGTCTTAAATCAAAAAGGGATAAAGGATGCTAGCTCAGTGCTAGAGTCTAGGACATACATCCAGGGTCTATGTCCAGCATGGCGGGATTGTGGCAGTTGGAGGAGGGAGAGGGTGGCAGGAGGCAGAACTTAAGGTGTCAAGTCTAGGGTATTTACCTCCACAGCTGGAATTCCTAACTACATGGTCAGTTACTCCCCCATACCCCGCCCTGCCTTGCCCCTATGGTCATCTACCTTCCAGGTAACCTTATTTGCATATCCACAGCCTGTGACTTGTCTCTGGTCACATCACCCCAACTTGTGACATTTACATACCCCACATCAGACCAAATGAGGAAACTCAAATATTGTGTCAGAGGTGAGTAAGGGGTGCTGGGAGGGAGGATGTTCTAGGCAGGAGAAAGGACAAATAGACCTCAGATGACTGCTTCAGGGACCCATCAGATTCCAGTGGACCCAAGAGACCCACTCTGAGGTGGAGACCCCCCCCCCCCCCGCCTTGTGTAGAATCCACTTGGCCATCGGAACACTTTGCTGGCAGCTGCTGTGGCTGAGCTGGGTTCCCTCACTCTGGAGAGCGGGATGAGGCAGGCACCCCCAAGAGGCTTGTTCTCTGAGGAAGGAGCCTGCATCCTACCCCTACTCTCTTCTCTGCCTCCCTCTTTTCCTTGGGGGCTATGGTTCCTCCCGCCACAGAGCAGCCAAGCGGGTCTCTTCCTCCCCCTATCCAAGTGGTCCATCCCTGGCCACTTGCTGTTCTGAGCTAAAACTGCTGACTGTGTCCCTGGTATGTCCATCTCTTCTCTGCTATGAATCAGGAAATGTGTAGGCAAGAAGCAGGTGTGCACGGCAAAGAGCAAGAAGGCTTCCTGGAGTAAGGACCATTCAAACTGAGAAGTGCAGAATGATCTGACCTCTAGCAAGAGAGCAAGGGAGACAGAAGGCAAGGGGCATAGAGCCCAGTGGGAGGGCTGAGCTGGTGCTTAAATAATGAACTGGGGTTTAGCTCAGTGGTTGGAGTTCAGGGCCCTGGGTTGGATCCTCGCAGAAAGTGAGAGATTAGAGAAGAGGAAGAAACGGGAAAAGGAAAGAGAAAGAAAAAGGAGCAACAGCAACCCAGGCATGGCAATTTCAGGTAGAGGCAAAAGGGTCACTGCAAGTCTGAGGCCAGCCTGGGCTACAAAACAGATCCTCTCTCTCTTAAAAACAAAAACAAAAAAAACTATAGCGAGCGCCCTAGTGCCCGCCTAGCACAGTGGACGAGTGATCTCCATTTACTTATTTATCTATTTATTCTTATAATTGTTCTTAGTGCTTGAGACAGGGTTTCCTAGGTTGCTCAGGTTGGCCTTCCTTCGCTGCCATCCAATTTCTGTGCTAACTCACCGACTTCTCATCACCCACAGGACAAAAGCCGAGGTGCAAGGAGATGGGTTTTGGTGCGAACTCATAAAGCTCAGGCAAGAGGCAGCATCCTAATTCAGACTCCAACTTCCTCAGGGTCTCACTGTACCAGACTGACCTAGAACTCACTATATAGACCAGTAGCCTCAAATTTGTGCCAATGATCCTGCCTCAGCTCCTCAGCGTTGGGATCCACCGTGCCTGGCTGCTTCCCCCATGGTCCGCTCACCTTCAAAGTAGACTCCGGAGCAGACCCGCAGCACGCGCGGAAGGGAGGCGGGGTCCAGGCGGCTCACGAAGTCCTGCAGCGGCAGGGGCTCCATGGTCTTAGGCTAGTGCTTAGACGTCTGAGTCTGCAACTCAGTGAAGAGCCCGGAAGCCACGCCCAGTGGAGAGGCCACGCCCACGCGACTCGCCCCTCAAGTCTTGTTGGTAGGGGCCCAGCTGTGATCACTAATACCTCTGAACCCTTGGATGAAGACTGACCAGTCTCTAAAATCGAATCCTTTCTTAGTAGTTGCTACTGCTGTGATGCCACGGCCTAAAGCAACTCGGGGAGGAAAGGGTTTATTTCAGTTTACAGCTCTGCAATCACAATCCATCACTTAGGGAGGGAAGTCTGAGTGGGAACCTGGAGGCTGGGACTGATACAGAAGCCATAAAGGAACTTAAGAAACCCTTCCCTTCCTCTCTCTCTCCCCTTCCTCTCTCTCTCTCCCTTTCTTTCTTGAGATAAGGTTCCTTTGTGTGGCTTTGGAGCCTGCCTGTCCTGGAATTTACAGAGACCCTCCTGCCTCTGTCTCTGGAGCGCCAGGATTAAAGGCATGTGTCACCGCTGCCCAGCTCAGCTTGCTATCTTACACAAATCATGACCATGTTCTGAACCCATCCACATCAATCATAAGTCAAAACAATGCACTAAAAACTTGTCTACAGTCAATCTGATGGAGGCATTTCCTTAACTGAGCTTGGATCAAGTTGACAAAAAAAACCAACCATGACAATTCCTACACCTTCCTTGACTTTGGCCCCATGATGCAGATTTAAATTTAAGACTTGATAATTCAATTCCCAGAAGACTGACTTGTGTGTGTGCATGTATGTGGTATGTGTGGTGTGTGTGTGTGTGGTATATATGTGTATGGTATAGTATGTGCGTGTTGTGGTGTATGTGTGTGTTGTAGTGTGTGTGTGTGTGTGTGTGTGTGTGTGTGAGATAATGTCTCCTTAGCACAAATTGTACTCTATGTAGCTGAGGATGACCTTGAACTACTGATCTTACTGTCTCCATGTCCCACCACACTCACTGAAGATCAAATTCGAGGCTTCATGCATTCGAGGCAGAGTCTACCAAGTGAGCTACATCCTGTTTGGGGTTTTTGAGGCAGAACTTCATGTAGCCCAGACTGACCTTGAACTCACTGGATAGCTAAGGATGGCTCCTATAAGAACCTGCCTCTTCCTCCTCATCCCAGGTTCTGGGATGTACCACCACTTCAGGCCAGGAAGATGTTAAATGGATAGACAATGAGCCTCTTTCCCAGCTGTCATGTGCTCCCCCACAGTATCCAAATCCAAACAGGGTGCCACAGCTGTCTTGTGTAGTTTGGGGTCTCCTAGGAGGTACATGCCCTTACCCTTTGGGTCCGAGGAAGAAAATATATTGCCCTGCTCACCCAAGATACACTGTGGCCCTCTGCCTGGACGCTTCTAGTGATGGAGCCTGTCACCTACCTCTCTCAGACACACATAGCCTCTGAACAAGTGCAGGTCCAACCCTCCTCAGGTGCAGTGGGGTGGCACAGGCTGTGACCCTGCACTTGGGAGGGCAGGAGTGCAGGCCATCCCTGGGTTACAAATCTCATGGCCAGAATATACAACATGAGACAATGTGTCACAAACAAAACAAGACACATTTTCTCCCAACACCCTGCCTCCTGTTTTAGGAAATAAGATGGGATGGAAACTGGTTTCCTTGCAGTTGAAAAATGTGCAAATGGAGAAACAGAAGTTCTCAAAGCTTCTGGAACCCTGGTGGTGAAAGGCTAACTACTGTCTCTAAACTGTTTTCTAGAGTTTTCTATAATGGCTTGAGTATTTTCCTATTAACAGATATTGTGAACAGCCACTCAACAAGGATCATGGGACATGGAGTGCGGGAGAGGTCATCAGAAAGCCCTCCATCTTTACAGCATTAGTGCAGGGTGGAAGAAGGAAGGGAGGAGGAGAGGTGAGAAGATGAGGGAAGTAGACGGGAGAGAGGGGAGAGGGTTAGGGGGAGGGAGAGAGGGAGGGACAAGGGAGGAGGGAGGAAGGGAGGAAGGGAGGAGGGAGGAAGGGAGGACAAGGCAGAGGAGAAGGGAGGGGGGAGGAAGGGAGAGGGAGGAGGGAGAGGGAGGAGGGAGGAAGGGAGGACAAGGCAGAGGAGAAGGGAGGGGGGAGGAAGGGAGAGGGAGGGAGGGAGGAAGGGAGGAGGGAGGAGGGAGGAGGGAGGAAGGGAGAGGGAGGAGGGAGAGGGAGGAAGGGAGGAGGGAGGAAGGAGGAGGGAGGAAGAAGAAGGGAGGAAGGAGGAGGGAGGAAGGGAGGAGGGAGGAGGGAGGAAGGGAGAGGGAGGAAGAAGGAGGGAGGAAGGAGGAGGGAGGAAGGGAGGGGGAGGGGGGAGGAAGGGAGGAAGGGAGGAGGGAGGAAGGAGGAGGTAGGAAGAAGGAAGGAGGAAGGAGGAGGGAGGAAGGGAGGGGGAGGGGGGAGGAGGGAGGAGGAAGGAAGGGAAGAAGGGAGGAGGGAGGAAGGGAGGAAGGGAGGACAAGGCAGAGGAGAAGGGAGGCTCCTACAGACTCAAGGATGCTTAGGGGATGGTGAAACAGAACCACAGGTGGCTTATCCTGCCTCTCCTGTTTTTAGATTCTTTTTATTTCTTTTTAAAATTGTTTTGTATTTCATTTCATTACTTTTAAGATAAATGTTGTCTCAGGCTGCTCTGACCCTCATGATTCTCTTGCCTCAGCCTTCCACGTGCTCAGATTACAGGCATGGGGCTACCGCGCTCAGCTTCCAGCTTTACTTCAAAAGCAAACAAACAAAACCAAAGGTGGGGCTGGAAAGATGGCCCAGAGGTTAAGAGCACTGGCTTCTCTTCCTGAGGACCAGGGTTCAATTCCTAGCATCCACATTGTCAGCTTGGCTCACAGCTATCTGTAACTCCAGTTCCAAGGGATCTGACATACATGAAATAAAGTACACTCCTTTTAGATTTACTTATATGTTTTACCAGCATGTGTGTCTTGTGCCAAATGTGTGTCTGGTGCCCAGAGGTCAGAAGAGGTGTCAAATCCCCTGGAACTGGAGTTACAGGCGATTGTGAGCCATCATGGAGGTGTAAAGAACCCAGCCTGGGTCCTTTGCAAGAACAGGCAGTGCTCTTACCCACTGAGCCCATCTCTCCACCCACTGTTTATGCAAAGCAGAAGCAGGCTTTGTTAGTAATTACCACAGAAAAGTGAGAAATAGAGGAGAAGTGAGAGAAACCCTCAAGAACTAGAGATTTCCAGGTTTAAAGAATTCTTCTGGGGGGTTGGGGGGATCCTCACACATACATACATACAGGCAAAACATCAATGCACACAAAATAAAAATGAATAAAGTTTAAAAGGTACTGACATGTCTTAACCATTCCAATATAAAAACAATTATTCTTAGGGCTGGAGTGTTGACCCAGTGGTTAAGAACACTGGCTGTTCTTCAGAGGATCACAGGTCCTAGCACCCAAGTCAGTCAGCTCAGGACTTCCTGTAACTACAGCTCCAGAAGACACCATCTTCTGTCTTCTGTGGGCCCGTGTGCATGCGTGCTCGCTCTTGCTCTCTCTCTCTCTTTCTCTCTCTCTCTCTCTCTCTCTCTCTCTCACACACTACTTAAATCTTAAATCTTTAAAAAGCCAGACATGGTGATGCACACCTTTAATCTTTAATTCCAGCACTCAGGTGGCAGAGGCAGGTGGATTTCTGTGAGTTCCAGGCCAGCCTGGTCCATAGATACAGTTAAAGGCCAGCCAGAGCTATACAGAGATCTTTTCTTTCTTCTTTTTGTTTTGTTTTGGTTTTTGAGACAAGGTTTCTCTGTGTAAGGGCCCTGGCTGTCCTAGAACTCACTTTTTAGACCAAGCTGGCCTCAAATTCAGAAATCTGCTGCCTGAATGCTGAGATTAAAGTCTTGTGCCACCACTGCCAGGCTTAGACACTGTCTCTCAAAACAAACCCAACAACTCCTTTTTGAGGCTGTTGCACTTAACCCCAGAGCCTCATGCATGGCAAGCAGAGCTGGCTGGGATGCTCTTCAGAGATGGAATGCTTACTTGGCATCAGTGATCTCTTGGGTCAACTCTCCAGTACTCCAAAAATAGACAACAAAAACTACAGGTAAATCACCATCAAGTCTACTTGCTTTTAGTTGATTTTAAAAACCACCATGTTTAGGGGCTGGAGAGATGGCCCAGCAGTCAAGTGTGCATTGTTCTTGGACCGGCTTTCTGTCCCCAGCAACCATGCTAATGCCTTAAAACTGTCTGTGACTCCAGCACCAGGGGACCTGACACCCTCTTCTAGCTAAAGGGGTATGTGCACTCACAGTGAATGCACATGTACATGTGCATGCATGCATGCAGACCCATACACATATGTATAATTTAAAAATAAATCATTTTGGAAACTACCAAGTTTGGAAGCATAAAGAACACCTTTTTTGTTTTTTTTTCCTGGAGTTGGTAGCATGCGCCTTTAGTCCCAGCACTCGGGAGGCAGAGGCAGGTGGATCTCTGTGAGTCCAAGGCCAGCCTGGTCTACAGAGCTAGTTCTGGGACAGCCAAGGCTAAACTGAGAAGCCCTGTCTGGAAAAACAAACAAACAAACAAACAAACAAAAAACCACAAAAGCTCTTGGCGCAGGGGACCCGGAGAGTGGATAATGAAGTGTACCAAGCATCTTCACACTGACAGATTCCTTCCTGTCCACCAACCACCTTTCCCACCGATGTCCTGGAAGGGTCCCTGCCTGTCCTCTGTCTTCACTTGAATAAACTCTGCTCTTTTGTAAAATGTCCTTTTGTTAACTAACACTATAATGATGGTAAAATACCAGTTGGGTATTTGAATTGGGAGGTTGAGCAGGTTGAGCAGGACCAGAGGCCCTGGGGAAGGACGGAGCTGGAACTCAAAGCGAAACGCTTGACTGCGTCTGAGAAAGTGGGTAAGAGTGCAGAGGGATGTTTTTCCTTCCCTGTTTCGATGGTGTCTAATAGAATCCGGAGCACTGAGCCCTCACCCCTTCCAGAGGATTCT